ACACACACACACACACACACACACACACACACACACACACACACACACACACACACACACACGTGTCTTCTCACCTGAATGTTCTTCTCGCAATCGGTCTGCTGGTGCAAGGCCAGCTCACTCTCCAGGACAAACTTCTTGCCACACTTGTCACAGATCTGCATCCTCCTGTGCGTTACGTTCATGTGCTTCTCCAGGTACCAGCGTGTGTTGAACACGCGAGGGCACTTTTCACACGCCAGCATCTCCTTCTCTCCCTCAGCCTTGCCGCTCGGGACCATGACACCTGCGGACACCGGCGGAGTGGAACGGGCAGAACGCCGTTGGATCTTTGCTGTCTCGGTGTGCTTCCGTCGCCCCCGGGTGGTCATTCCTGAGGATGGCGAGTTTAGAGACGTTCGGAGACTCTTCCTCTGTGGCTGGCCGGAAGCGCAACTCGCACTTCTGTGGGCCCTCTTTGACCTCGTTCTTCGTCTTTCGATCTCCTCATCCTCGTACTCATCCTCGTAGGGGCTCTCATCTTCAACCTCTTCCCCATCTTCATCATCCTCACTGCAACCTCTTTCCAAGTCGTCTCCAGCCGCATCGCCTTTGTTGTCGCCCTTGGAAACGTGGAGGGTCTGATTGTTGAGATTTACCTCCACTATGATCTGCTCACGCTTAAAACCCTCCTCCTGTCCGTCCTCCTCTTCGTCGTCATCTTCGGTCTCCTCTGAAGTGTCCTCATCGTCCTGCGTGCGTATGCCTCGTCCTGCCGCACCCTCACGGAAATACTGCTGAGCGCTGTCAGCCGCCGTCTTGGTCGCCATTTTGTTGTCCACCAGTACAGAGTAGGGCTTGCCACCCGCCTCCCTCTTGTAGAGCTTTCCCGTCAGGTCCACCTCTGGCATGGGGGGGCGGTAGAAGGACTGTGACACCTGCGGCCTGCGGCCCTCTTCCTGTGACATCCCGCCCAGGCACGGGGCAGAGACCTCCTGCTTGAGGCTTTGGCGGGATTTCATGAAAGGTTACGAAGCTGAAGTGGCTCCACAAAGAGGGGTAAGGTGCACCGAACCCCCACCTTCCCTCAAGAGGAAGGAGGGGATGAGGTGTATGAGACAGTCAACCGGATTCAAACAACGCGTCCATATCATCCATGGAGGGAAACTACAACGGAAAGGCGTACAACCTGTCACAGACGCGCCGCCATAAACTTTAAAATAGCAGTTGACGAAGCTTAAGTTCACTTCCTGTGAAGGGCAGAGCAGGTAAGGTCGAAGAAAGGAACACCTCACGTCTTTCTGCCATCTGGGGCCATGAGCAGAGCATCACCTACAAGAAGCAGAAACACACACTGATGAGTTGGGGGGGAAGAGAGAGGTGGAAAAAAAAAACTCTTCCGCTGTTATGATACAAAAAAAAAAACCAAAAAGTCTACAACAAAATGACAGCGACGCCCATGAAAGTCACAACCGCATTTGCACTGCTGAGAATACAAGGGTAAACCACAAGTCCTCAGAAATGAATGGGTGTGCACTCAATTACATACAATAAATCCTTTACATGCTGTCGAAGTTAAGCAAAGTCAACAGACGATCAGTGCTCAAGAATCATCCATCCAGTCATCCATTTTTTGAACCATTTCATCAACGATGCAGACACTTTGATGAAAATAAAAACATGCCTATTTCTGGATCGTCACTAAAAACACATTTTTTCGCCCAATTTAAAAAATCTCTTGCCTGCAATATCTGCATTGTATCAGAAGTGAAAAATGTGTATCAGGACACCTCTAAATATTAACAACATAGATTTACACTTGTAGGATAAGTAAGAATTGTAAAATCTTTTTTTGATGAATCTGCAATATGAATGACAGCCGCCTGGCTATTATCAACATCTTTTACAACATTAAAATTTCAGAATGTATATACCCGCTGGATTATCCATCACAACCAAATAAATTTGACAAAATTTGAAAAAAAAAAAGACCACTTTCACCCTTTCATGCACCCTCTAACCTGATAACATGATAAGCTGTCCACTGTTGTAACCGCTGTCCTTGAAAGGGTTAATATGTGAACGACTGTTTTTCTCCCACCCATTTGAAAACAACAGTGCACGTTACCTGAAAATGCCACCATTTAAGGCCTAAAGCATGGCAAGGGCTGTAACCACAGCAATGCTCAAAACATAAAAAGGCTACAAGAATGACTTGAAGCGCACACATCCAAGCACGTGCGTGTACTCGGCTGACTGCGAGTTGACCTCACACAACCTCGCAACCGGGCTCTCCATTATCAGTGTTCAGCGGGGCGGGTTGCTCGCTAGAGAAGCGGCGGCAGAAACAAGCAACACCACGTGTCTGTTCTTGCAGAAAACACCACATTTCTTGTACTATCGCTGTGTCGCAGGTATCTTATGCGGCGCCTGCATTAATAAAACAACATTTACGACAGAGGCAACAATCAGTACAAAGAGAGGACAGTGCAAACAAAAACCATGAGAGACAAGGGTTAATGGTTACCTCGACTAGAGGCCAGTATGCCATATCAGAATTCAACTGGGTTCTGAGGCATGTTGACAGCGATAAAGCCAAAATAGCCTTCAGTCACCATGTGATCCAAGCATAAAATTGTCCGAAGGGCAGTCAAAAAGTAACGAGCCCATTTTAACTTGCCCGACTTATAGTTCATTTTTTTTTTTTTTAACTGAAATTTCAACAGTGTGTTATAAATAAACTGTTTGAAAAATATTGTTTGAAGTAGCTACTTTGTGAAAGCCATTTTGGAAAAGACATCATTGTTGCATGTCCGCCAGAAGAGCTGTGATTGAATTCCTTATTTTGAAAGAGGAGCTACACCCAAAAAATAAATAAACGCAAAAATCTGGTTCAGGGGGATGCTGCAATAGGCCACAGCACTGTCAAAGAGTGGGCATGCAGGTTCAATGAAGATTAATGTTTAAGGGACTGTATGAGCAGTATGACGGTTTTATACTGCCCCCAGGTGGCCAAGACGGGCACACCAGAAAGATAGTGTGCCAAAAACTGTTATATTCGCTGCTAACCATCCATCCATCCATCCATTTTCTAATCCGCTTATCCCCCACGAGGGTTGCGGAAGTGCTGGAGACGATCCCAGCTGTCTTCGGGCAGGAGGCGGAGTCCATCCTAAACTGGTTGCCAGCCAATCGCAGCCGCACACAAAGACGAACAACCAATACGCGCTCACCATCACACCTAGGAACAATTTCAAGTGTTCCGTTAACATGCCATGAATGTGGGAGGAAACCCGAGTACCCGGAGAAAACCCACGTAGAACATGCAAATTTCACACAGGAAGGCCAGAGCCAGGATCGAAACCTGCACCTCTGCACTCTGAGGCGGACGTGCTAACCAGTCGACCACAGTGTCGCACTCTATTTGCTTTCATTTTTTTTTTTAATTAAGCCCTTTGTTGTTTTTTGAAGCACAACATTATAATTGTTAGTTTTGTGTCACTAAATTGACTATTCTACGTGGGCAACTAGTTGATGAAGCGCAGCATCCAAGAGTGAAAATACAATCCAACTGTTTACTGTCCTTTGAGGTGCTCACAGTCAGATACTTTATATCTGAGAATATTAGGTTTGGACAATTTTAAGTTAAATAAGGTTTCCAAAAGAATAACTGATTTTCAAAATAGATGTTAATACATTTGATTAGTTTTAATTTGTTGTTGAACTTCTAAACCTGGCTACTGTTTTAAATTGCGAAAAAAAAGCACAATATTGCCCCCTTTAAGTCATTTTTGTTTGCACGAGTTTGACAATTGATCATTTCATTCAAAAGCACCAACGAGACTCTCCTTTTGTACAGTATGCCCGAGACGTCCTGAGAATGGGAGCATAACAAGCACATGGGAAAAGCGAGCTTGGTTGTGATGGAGCGACTCGGCCGTATTTGACACAAAGCCGACTAGATTATCCCGAGTGGGGATGACAGGGGAACACAAACTGCAAGAAAAAAAGCCCCCACTGGCACGCTAGCAGCTTATAATATCCCATTTCGCCCTTCACAAATTAACCTGATTAATACGCCAAACACATGCGCGGCATGCGGTTACGCAACACCCGTATTGAGCAAAAATGCCTCCACTGCTTCGTATTATCGTCGATGAGTCATTTGAGAGTTTCGCTCAGTGTGAAAAAATGCACTTTGATGTGGCTTCACAATATCTTTTGTACATTGCAGAGATAATTCCTCTGTGTGTAAATTTTTTTTTATCTTTTTTTGATAAATAAGTAAAAAAAAGTAAAAATCAGCTGATTTTAACTGATCTCGTTAGTAAGCGATATCATTATTCTCAGCCATATCAAAATGTTCTATTCGACTTCATTCGTGCCTTAACTGACACTTGCAAGAAGCCAAAACTGGTTTCATATGGAGTAGGCTGCAATGTAACTCACACAAACACCGAATAGAATGAAAGAGTGGCTTTCAGATGACATGGAAGCTTCATACTGCAAACCCACAGCGCAGTACTATGCGCAACAACATAAAATGGGGCAAGTGTTCACAAGTGTGGAGCTGACAGTGACCTGGGAAGCACTCAAGCTCGCTGGCGCTCAGACTTTAATGAGCTTTTCACCGCTTGCAGGGAAGGAACCGTGCGAGGGTTCACATTCCACACTCTTGGCAAACTCGTAAAAACCGAACCCTCTCACTTTGTGCCCTGCTGCGGGGGGTCCCCAAAGCGTCTCTAAGTATTGGACTCCCAATCATGTCGTTTGGGAAATATGAATATTATAAGAATGAAATCCTAATAGAGGTACCGGTATATTTTTTAAAAATGTATTATTTATTAAAGAAAATTGTCATAATGGTATTGGGGCGGGGGGCACTTGTGTAGCCCACTATCAAAAACCAAGACTTTATAGACAAAGGGGAAAAGACATTGGGTTCACTTCATTGCTCACACCAACATTAGGGAGGTTGTTTCACTTAACCTGCATTGATGACTCAAAACAAAACTAAAAACGATTTCAAACCACAAAAGGAGACTTTTAGTGGTTTTGAAAGAGTGACACTCCAAAACCACGGTAACCTTGGAACTGGTAACTGGCGCATGCCTACACCTAATTTCCTCATATTCTTATGTAATTTTACTATTTTTTGTCCCACGACGTTATGACTTTCACAAATAAAATTATGCTTCTCCCACACAGCATTCCAATTTGGTCCCCCTAATTGTTATGACTATTCACCCATAACAATATGATTTTACCCCCCCCCC